GAGTTGTTGAGTGCTGATGATATCAGCCATAGAAATGTCTGCCTTCTCGCAAATGTAGTAGAACTAGATGGCACTCAGCTTGTGGTGCTCAAAGTGCCAAAAAAATACATTTGAAAAACTCAACAGCAATGTCTCTTTCCAGAAATCATGACTCTGTTACTCAAGATAATCCACAGACCTTGTTGTGAGCAGTTTCATGTAGGAACTATTTTCTTTCTCCTGAGCTACACCCAGTGCTGGACCTAGCACAATTGGTGCCCTGGGCAAATTTCCCCTGGTGAGCTATAGCTAACACTACAGTTAAGCCAAGGGGGATGCCATTAGTGTTTACATCTCGCACTGTGACAAGCAAGAGCCTCTTGTCCATGAGTAGATGCACACTTTCTTCTGCGTGGTGATACAGCTGGTAGGTGTAATTCATGAGACGGAAAATAGTTTCTGCATAAAACTGCTCAAAAAAAGGGCACGACACTGCTGTTGAGTCGATTTCTCTTTTTTTTTTTTTTTTTTTTTTGGCACTTTGAGCACCACAAGCCAGGCGCCATCTAGTTCCATTATATTCAAGAGAAGGCAGACATCTCTACGGCTGATATCTCCAACAATCTGTTACTCACACCAAAACAATCAACACTGAAAATTAGCTCTACAGGTAAGAGGAAAAATATGAATGTTTGATTTTGGGATGAATCGTCTCTTTAAGTGTGCACAAAAGGCCAAATAGATTGAATATGGAAGACTCTGGATGTCATAGTGCACAGTGGGTTGCAGTAAGTCATTCATGTAGCACTTTTCAAAGCTAAAATGCTTCTTGATAAAAAGCACTGAATATTAAATCTGACTAAAAAGAGATTAAGGAGCAAAAAATAAAATAAAACAGAAGTCTTTATGACATGATACTCAAGAAAAAAATGCAGGTGCTCTTGAAGGCAAGGGTCAGCACATGGGAAGGAAGAAATTAACTGAAGGGACTCAGGCATGGGGCGGGAACAAATGCATTTGAATTAAAGTACAAAGCCTTTATTCCAAAATATGGCTGCTTACATTAAAGCACCAACCGATTTCAACCAAAAGGTCTTCGTCAGGGTGCAAAAGGGTGTCGAGCAAAACCTTTTTATAAGCTTGGTAGAGGGTGTCACAATCCTGATTAATAAGTGAGCACAGGTGGGTGACAGCAGTGGATTACAATGAGAAGCCATTCTGAAGGTGACACGGCTCCACAAGTGAAAAAGAAAGAAGCAACAAGAAGAAAAAAAATCTTATTACAATACATATTAAGAAACATCAGTTAAAGTCCAACCTTGTGGTGGAATAATGAGGGGTAAACTATTCCAAAGTTTAGAGGCAAAGACATCAAATCCTTTATCTTACTTTATTTTAAGTGGAGATCTGGGAAGATGCAGAAAAAAAATATACAGAGGAGAAAGATAATTTAATATTACATGTTCCAAATATACAAAGTTTAAGACATATGGGGGATATGGACTGAGCATGTGGGACGACATGCAACAAGGTTCCCAAGTCACAATCAAACCAGGGACTTTGTGTTAACGTGGCACCTTGGGGATGATCAAAAATATTCATGTACTATCATGTGTGTGATTTTTGGTAACACCATGTGAGGCTGAGTGAGCTCATCTACATGTCAGACCACTGCTCTCAACAACTGCACTGACTCTCAGACTTCATGTGCAGAATATCCTGCACAGCAGGGTGAACCTGTGCAGGCTGACACACTTACTCTTACATTTGTCTTACATTTGATGAACACTGGAGTGAATGTGTTCTTCTAACACTTCACATTTTTGTGCTCACTCACTGTGAAAAAGCAAATGCAGATTGGAGGTATCATTACGGTCATGACAGGTGAGTCACTTCCTCTTCCCACGTCATAACCTTTAACAAAGGATGAATGAAAGGATCTTTTTCATTGCCCTGAAAAAATATCTATCATTGATCTCTAAAAACAACAGTAACCCCCTATATAAATCAAATCTCCTTCTGCTCCTCTGTATGTGTCACTGTGTCATGGTCTTCAGCAACATTTCTTACACCTGTTGTCTTAACAGTCAAGCTTTGACCCCTCCACTCCTTTAAGCAGGTGCCCTGGAAATGTATGATTATTTTATTGCTGTATCACTGAGTCGCTGCGTGATTTCACTCATGCACTTTGGACTGATTTGTGCGTCAGTTACTTGTTTGACACATTAGAATTACTGTAGACCAAGTCAAGGTGCACAGGAGGAAGTGTTTTTCTTGAAGGCAGACTTACTAGCCTACAGGTTGGGTCAGAATAACTTATCTCTTGTCATCACTTTAGTTTGTCACTCAAGCTCCACGCAAACATCGTCTGCCTGTAAGAGAGTGGGCGAGCCAGCTGAAGTGCTCCGAAGAAACTGGCCCAGCCTGCAGCTCCAGTCTCTCTGTCTCCCTCTCACACACAAACAAGCAATACAAACATGCTGTTTTTCCATCTTAACAGGTTTAATTACATACAATTATACATCTGACAAGAAAACATCTCCAGTTTGCCAGAAAGAGTTGTCATCTTCATTTCCAGCCTGAGTCACTTGAAATGCAAAGAAGGGAGTCTCAAACAAATGGTTAATATTTCACCACCACCAGGAAGTCATTCTCAAAAGTATTTGTTGTTGTAGCATCACAAGTTGCCGTGGCAGGAGAACAGCAGCAGAGTCTCATCTGCACTTTAATTCTAAATAACAAAGCAGCACAGGGCACAGATAACACACGCACGCACACACACATATACACATATAGAGTGGCATGTTCAGCATTTGTCAGATTCTGTTGTTTTAATAAATGTTTCTGTTGTGTGTCTTAAAAATGTTCAGCTGCAACCAACGGGAACTAAACATCAGGAAAGTCTATTTGATCCAAATGTAATGTGTGTAAGCTGCGCTCAAACATGTGTGTTTTACTACTTCATCATAATTTCACCAAACTAAAGAAGAATTATATATTCAAATATACTCTGAGAGCTACAGAATAATAGATTTTGTTGTAAAATAAAAAATAGACAAAAAAATGCACCGCATATACATGACCATGTTCAAGATTTAGACATTCTGAGGTCACAACCAGACCAGTAATTTCTTTTTGATTTTAATATTTTTCCACGTTATCTGTTATCACTTTAATTTTTTTTTTAATGCTGTTTAATCTAATAACAGACGTTTCATGTTGGTCTAGACAGTGTTTTCTGGGAGTATTGCTGTCTGCCAGGAATAAATTCTGGTGGGCAAAATTGTCATTCATTATTTTTCTCAGACTAAAAATTGCCAACTTTAAAGGAAGACTTCATCCACAAAATGACCAGTTGTATATCAGTTACTTGTGCCATGTTACCTTGAATTCATGAAGACAATATTTTCTTGCTGCCTCCCCAGACTCCCCCAACTACAAACACAGGGGCGTAAGTATAGACAGTGCAGAGGCAGTGCAGTTGCACCAGGGCCCATGGGACATGGGGGCCCGTACGAGAGCAGGGCCTCCGACAGCGTGTTGGCCAAAGAACAGGTTCTTGTGATTGACTCAAATTGCCACCTCAGAAATAGACCCATGGTCAAAGAAGAACTCATGTTAAATTTAACAAAAGTGGGGCCAGCCGCTACAGATGTGGTCGTAAACGCAAACCCATTTCTGTCATGGTTTCTTTTTTCATTTGGTAAAAGAGTTAGTAGCAATCCATTCAACAATAAAAGTATGTTTACTTTACATAACTTTTAAAATCACAAATAAAGTATAAAGAAATATATTCAATTTAATGAATACTTTCATTTGGTATTTTTGCCATGTACAGATTTGCAGATGATTGCTGGGTAATATGTATGTTGATACTGTCCAATGTCAAGTCGTAGCTAGTTTAGATGCAAAATCTTGCATGAGGTCCCCTCATGATAACATGCACTGGGGCCTGTCCTAACTATGACACACCACTGTGCAAACATATTGAGTAACTTATTGATTGGGGACCATGTTTGACATCAAAACATCCATTTACAAACTCTTACACAAATAAAGCAGCAAAATCCAAGTCTCATTGATACTCAATATACTAAATACATCCCAGACACATGCATTTTCACCAAAAAACCCAAGTATTTAAAACTGAAATAGGAGTAAAACTTGTATATACTCTCTTCAAAGCCAGCAAAATACATGTGTTTTCAAAGTACTGAGCATACCACTGGATAAAATGAGACTTGGATTATACTGCATGAGTTGTGTGAGAGTTTATAAGCAGATGTTTTGATATAGTTTTACTGTTGTTAAATGTGGTTCAGAATCAAACAATAAATCAATATGTTCAGTGTAGAGGCATGCAAGAAAAACACATTCTCATGAATTTAAGGTAACACAATATGTCTAACAACTGATACACATATGGTCATTTTGTGGGTGAAGTGTTCCTGTAAGTGACACAGTGAGTCTGAAAAATACTGGTATTTCCCTTTCAACCACTGAGTTTTGTTGACATTGGCTTCACTTCCTCATTGATTTTGGGTCCAACAGACCCCACTTCTGCATGTGTATAAATAATCATGACTTTAAATCTAAGAGTTTTCTTTTCCTTTAAATACATGTCCGTTTAGGAGCTGTCACATGTCAAAAAAAAGTACCTTAAAAATCAATCATAACATATAGAGCAGACGCAAATCTTATTATTTTTGTTTTACAGTTTAAGTCTCTGGGAAAATGAAGAGTCAACGTTATAAATAAATATATATGTTTTAAATGTGTTAAAGAGGGCAAAACAGAACAAACTGAAGTAAAAAGTCACTACATGTAACTTTGATTTATATAATGCAGCTCTTTATGCTTTGAACAGCACTGATGAAGTGTTACTAAAGAGTGCCCTCCTCTGGTTGAAGCTTGTCACAGCAAGATCTCCTGTGCCTTTTCATTTACTTGTAAACATGGATATAACTAATGAAGTGTGAATATGTTATTAATGAAATCCATCAGTGACACTCACTCACAGCTGATGAGACAGGTCATACAGAAAATGAGTTTATTTGTAATACAGCAGAATTTTGTTTGTTTGTCTTACATCACATACAGATGTCTCCTTGCATTCAGCATTGAAACATGATCTTCACCGTTTTTAAATCTACTTGTGTAACTATAACGGTACAGAATGAATCATTGGAAGGGTTTTTTTTTGTAATTTTTGTTTTTTTTGTTTGCACTGATTATCATTGTTTCACAGACACAGTCTACATCAAAGTTTCTTTACACCCCAAAAGAAAACTAAAGAAATCTACCACCAAATGTGAATCGAGTAAACTGGCAAAACAAAAGGACAAAACTTTTGCCTGATCACCTTGAACTGTGGTGCAAAACCCGCCTCTCAAGGGCATAGAGAAATAAATCTGTAAATCATTCTTCATAGATAAATATATGTGACTTGAAATCAGAACCGGACTAGCTGAGAAATCAATTAGAAGTTATCACTAAATATATAAGGCCACAAAACCCAAATGATCAAACTGATGATTGAACACAGCTGCTGAATATGAACGATGCACTCATACCTCGGTGGAGTGGATTTACAGCATGTTGTACTGTCACTGGTGTATGAGTAGTCGTACCCATGTATGGCACACAAGAAGTTGTTCTACTGACAGAAGTCTGTGGGTTCTGCTGGTATCAGTGGTGACGCAGGAACTGATGTGCTGATGAGTGAACTGATCTGCTTACCCTGCTTCCTTTCACATAATTATCACCGAAATAAAGGAATATGCATGTCAAATAAATATTACAGCCATTTATAGATTCATCAACAATATTCACATTCAGTAACACAGAGTTATCATCCCCCGATATGCAAGTCTGAGACGAAAACACAAGGAGCGAAGAGCAACCTGAAGCAGTTTGAGTACTCACACATGAAGGCAGACACGCAGCAGCTGTGCAGGTCATGTGTGTTGTGTTTTATATTCTGCTTTCACATTAAAAAGACCATAAAGCTGACTACACTGTGTTTAGCGCACGTTGACGACTAAATGCAGAAATGGGTGGTTTGGTTAGTTTCTGCATCCTACTGTAAAAACAGCACCAGAACACGATGATCAGAGAAAATCTACAAACAGCGTCAACATCCATGCAGCTCCGAGGATGGAAAGGTAGGCAACAATGTCAGCGAGAACTACTGGGATGCATGCATCTCGGCGGTCAGGGACGTGTTGTGCGTTTTAAAATATTTAAAAAGGGCGGCTTCGACGCTTTGGGTCGCCACATGGGGAGTAGAAACACGCCACGGATATCAAAAGAGTTCCAAAATGAGGCAGTAAGAGGACACGTGACAGGGGGAACTCCTGCTCTGTTGTCTTTTTCATGATTAATACTGACTGGGCCGCTTGCACCAACACACACAGGATGTGTGCACGCTCACACACACTTTATCTGAGTACCAAAGTGCCTCAGCATTGCTCACAAATTAATAGGTAGAATTATGATGACATGAAACTGCCAGCTGTGACTGTTCTCAAACATGGCTCTGTTAGGAAAAAAGAAAATGAAAAACAGGAAGTGCAACGGGCACAGAACAGTTCTTTGTTTGGATGACTGACAGCTGAAAGACATACATAAACAAAAAGTCCTATCTGACTCATTGCTGACTCAGTGGAGTCACACGTGACTTGGTACAGCACCTAGAGACGAACATACAGTACATTGCACCTAAGGACAAGAGGTGGACACAGGAAAAGCAAGTGTCTGCTGTGATTGCTTACGGTTAGTGTGCATTTATGTGTGTGTGTGTGTGTGTGTGTGTGTGTGTGTGTTTGGTTAAATATGAAGTACATGAGAATCTGATTTTAATAAGCACTGAAAACTATTAAGAATCTCAACAGACTGAAAATAAAAGCCTAAAATCCTCCCCAAACCCAGAATCTTGCTTTTCACCTATCAATCAAAACCCCTGTACCTAACTCACGCCCCCCATTCCCAAAACAAATAAAAACTTGGACGGGTGCTGGCTGCTTGTTCCAGTTTTCTTCTTATTTCTTGTTCTTCAGTTGATTGGCCAGCCAATCAAGACCCTCATAGAGGCCGTCACCGCTGGTGGCGCAGGTGGCCTGGATGTACCAGTTACGGTGACGCAGGGAGTGTAAGCCCAGCTTGTCTGTGATCTCTGCAGCGTTCATGGCATTCGGTAAGTCCTGTCAAAGAGGCGAGAGTTCAGTGAGGAGAGAGTGAAGAGTCAAGGGTAAGTGATCAGGCTTTAGTGTGACCCTGATAGTGTCAAAAATATCAATTTATCAATCCATATCTTTTCTGCATATTTGTAATGGTTTCAGTACTCATTTGCTGCAGTATTGACACACTGGTACCAGCTGCGCTTTCTCACTTTCTCTTAAGCGGGATTTAGGCTTCTGCATCGAATCAACGCTGTACCCTGACCCACAGCGTGACATGCACCTCCTCAAAAATGTAAATACATGTCGCGGTGACGCAGACCTCCGGCTATATTTGTAAGATGAAACCATTTCCCTCAGTGGAAACGAAGCTTTTATTTACTTTTATTTCACAGATAAGAAACAATAAATTGTGAAGACAATAAAGCCTCTACAAAATAGCCTTTTATGCCTTGTGTCAGATTTATCCTGGCTTCATATGAGCACAGGAAATCTCCACTTGTCGTTAGGCTAATTTATACAGTGTAAAATGCCATAGGCTTGTGCTAATAATATTAGCATGTTGCATTTGTTTGGAAAACGGGTTTAGCATAAGACAGTTTTTTTGTCAGTGAACCTTGTGAGCTGTAATGGAGCCAAATTTTGCCAAAGCCAAACCTTTGTTAAATGTTGCTGTTGTCCCTGGCTTCATATAAGTAGCAGGAAAGTCCACTAGCAGCTAGGCTAATTTATACAATGGAAAATGCCATAGGCTTGTGCTCAAACCATTAGCATGTTGCATTTGTGGGGAAAATGTGTCCAGCAAAAGACAAGTGTTTGTCTGTGAATGCTGAGAGTTATAGTGAAGCTGATTTGTGTACTTGTCTTTGAAATTGTCTCTATTAAGCCATGTTTAATGTGTGTTCTGAATCAACTAAACTTTACAGCACTTCACAGAAACCCCGCCGCTGACTAGTGTTTTGAAGGTGTAACTGCAGAGTGACACAGACACACCATTGCACACAACAGTGTACGCCACATGCATAGGCTCTGGATAGAGCTAACGCACAAGTCAGTGCTTTTCTTTTTCATGTATGATAGTAAATTAAATATTGTTGGATTTTTGATTGTTGGTCGGACAAAACAAGCAGTTTGTAGTTGTCACCTTGAGCTCTGAGTAGAGATGAAACAGTTTTGCAGTTTTGTTAAAATGTGCTGAAAAGTACTGATACACGCAGTGAAATCATTTCACCAAGTTTTATATTAAAAAACCACATATAAAATTAGCAGCACATTTTGTTTGCATCAACATTAAAATATAGCCAGTACCTCATGTACACCTTAATCTGCCTCAGATCTGCCTTAATATTAAAGCCTGTCTTTCAAATGCTTGCTGGAGTGTCTGTGTCACTGTAGATGAGGACAGGGGACCAGCAGCATCACTCTACACCCACTCAGTAAACAAGGGAGCAGCAAAACAAACCCACGTTGCATGTTGTGTCTGGGTTTGAGACTAATGCAAACTTTGGCTGATGCAGGACAATACTGTGAGTATTTAATCGCACAGTAATAAAACCTGGTTTAAATTATAATTTAAATTTGACATTGTAATACTAACAGTCTGGAAATTTATCGTGAAACCAGTAATCATTTCATTCAGAGCTCTGTGACATCGTGGGGGCCATTTTTCATTATTTTCTGACGTTTTATAGACCAGCACTTACTCAATGAATCCAAATGTAATAGGCAGATTAACAGAGTGGTGCAGGGACCTTTTTAGTAGGCCGACATGGAAGTTATCATCACCCTGGTTCCCTTAAAAAGAGCTAATGGGATTTTTTGATTGGATTTTGGATTATTGCAAAAAAGTTCATGACACTTAGATGTTTTGTACATAAGGTTAATCTTCACAAATGAACACCATTTTATGTTTTCTGAAGCGTAAATGCAGTCTGCTAACTTTAGGTTACAAACGAACTGCACCACAGTCACATGACTTCATCATTGCCACCACAACAAGGCTGTAGTTGTGTCGACAATATTGTTAGCAACCACCTTTTTCAAGACACTTTCAAAACTGTAGAACAAACATGAAAATCAGGCATCTAACCAAAAAACATTCAAAAAACCAACTGAATTCTAGACAGACTGCAGACTTTGTAATGTGCTTGCAGTCATACAGTGGAAAATTTAAAAGTAAACTTCAAAGTAATACCTCTGTATTTTGAGAATGAGACCTATTTGCATTCTCGTCAGGAATTTGGTGATAAAATTGATACCACACTCAAGTCTGTGCAGTGAACACAAGGCTACAGCCTGCAGGCGGTTTACTTACTGCATCTTAGCATAAAGACTGGAAACCGCTAGCGTGGCTCTGTTCAAAGGTAATAATGTCTGACTACCAGCTCCTCTAAAGCTTAATAATTAACATGTTGTATCTTATTTGTTTAATACATACAAAAATGTACAAAGGGTTGTAAGCCAGAGCAGGTTTTCATCATTTACCCGCAGTATTTCTCAAGTTAATATCATCTTTGGATTTAGGTTACAAATAATTACATCAGCCTGAAGAAGAATTTTATCTATGAGATACTAAGTGGTGCATTGATCTTCCAGTACAACCCTATTGTGCACTGATTTATTTGCAGTGTCTATAAAATGTGTGTATATATGCAGAACAGTTAGGGTGTCTTACCTGTTTGTTGGCAAACACAAGGAGGACAGCATCTCTCAGTTCATCCTCAGCCAGCATCCTCATCAGCTCCTCTCGTGCTTCGTTCACACGCTCTCTGTCGTTACTGTCCACCACAAAGATTAGACCTGAAACAGCGAGAGAGACAAACAAAATCCTTTTTTTTCTGAAGGAGAAGAAGAGGAAAGTCGCTGGTGTAACCCTATGATTAGCTCTTCTCACCCTGTGTGTTCTGAAAGTAGTGTCTCCAGAGGGGGCGGATCTTGTCCTGCCCACCCACATCCCACACAGTGAAGCTGATGTTCTTGTATTCAACCGTCTCCACGTTAAACCCTGAAAATAAGTGCATACAACATGAAAAGTAAACGTTATAGCAGGCCACTCATTAGTGTGCAGGACAATACTTAAATCTTATTTGGTCTGTGCACCTCCACCTACCAATGGTTGGGATGGTGGTGACTATTTCCCCCAGTTTGAGCTTGTAGAGGATTGTTGTTTTTCCTGCAGCATCCAGCCCCACCATCAAGATCCTCATCTCCTTCTTCCCTATGAGGCTCTTCAGCAAATTCCCAAAAATGTTCCCCATGATTCAGATGAAGTTCTTAAACTTCAGCGTGCGGCTACAATCCTGATTACAGATGCCTTGCTGCCAAGTTTCACTCGTCCAGCAGCAATAGATTACGAAGGAGGGCTGAAAGGAAACACAGCAAATGACCATTTAGTAATACTGTTGTGTGTGTAAACATCCAGTGATGGATGCAACAAACATGTTGGCATAGAGAGAGGATTATTAATAAGCTAAAGTGTCTGTGAGGCCTTTGTTAAATTACAACGAAGGGAACGCTCCATCCAACCTTCCTTTACTTTTCTGAAAAGACTGCACCACCATGCCAGACACTCTCACTTCTACATGCACAACCCAAGACAGGTGCAAGCTATGCTAATTGCCCACAGTCATCATCACAGAGAGGGTGAAGGAGATGCATGTTAGTGCCATGACTGCAGGCTGCAGTACAATCTGTTCAGACCCTTCTCGCTTGTTTTGTTTTTTTTCTCCTTCAAATGTTATCCTGCAACAACGCCAAGCCCTCAGAGCATATGAAAAATGTCCTACATTACCAGGCCTGGCTCAAACATATCCAATCACAAACCTGGACTAAAAGAGGCAGAGAAGAGCACATTTTCACGAGTCGGCAGTCTAGTTGTGCCGTGTTTTGCAGATATAGTTGTCAGTAGAGCACGGGAGCAAAAATACTATTGCAGTGTCCAAAAATACTCTCTTAAAGTGAAACTGCACACAACAGTCCACTTGCTATCTTATCTATCCTTTCAACCACATTTTACGAGCCTTATGGTCAGGTGGATTTCATTTCAGCTAAGTTGTTTCATTAATTGTCATCATTTGAAGTGCTGAAGAGCTTCAGAGGTCAGAAACCAGGTTGGTATTACACATTTATATTTCTTTTCAACACACTGAATGTTTCCAATAGAACAAAATGTACCTGTAAAGAATGCAAAGTGATGTGTTCAAGGTGATGTGTTATGTCCCCAATCAATGTCTTCTTCATGCACTAACACATCTTTGGACATTGCGGTACATTGTGGGGTATGTCAAATGTAGTGATTGCACATACTCTGAATTATAAAGTGTGCACTTGCTATATTTCAGTGTAGAATAGAGACATACATGCTCATCATGTGCACTGACATCATCGTCATATGACACTATTGGTGGATTGAGTGGACTAATAGACTCAACTAAAGTGAAAAATAGAAGATGATATTTAAATAAATAAAGTCGTCAGTAGATATGAGGCTAGCTGCAGCCCTGTCCATGGTGCTGAAGAGGATCACCACACTTGTCACAGCCTGACCCCATCTCCTGTCCTCCCACAGATGGCTGTACAGGTTTAAATATGAGCTCTTACAATAGTGATTTAAGCTATGTGGGAGCAGGGCCACGATATGCCGGCCTGATAACGTTAATTCAACTCCGGGTGACTCAGGTTACGTTAGCCGGGAATGCTATGTAACGTTAACGTTACGGCTATCCTGCCGATATTAGCCGTTAACATCGGCCGAGGACATCTTAACGCGTTAACTAAAGAGACACACTTAATTTCAGCGACCGAGCATCACCATTTCCTCGTTATGTTACCGGTTTTAAACTCGTTTATCGAGCTAGTTTAGCTCTAATCGACGAGACGTAACGTTAGCTTTCGTATCTGCCGTCCCGATCCATCCCATTCATCCATCCGCTTATCACCTCAGCGGACATCCTGCTGCCAGCGAGCCGCCCGCCCGCCGCACAACACCGAGGCTACACAACCGAAACAGGTCGGCCATCACACACACCTTGATCTAATCACCCGCCGGGACCTGCGTGTACACAGTCGGGTTGGTGTTGGTGCCAGTATCCTCACTTACCTCCGCCGAGTAGTCCTCTACTAAATGTCTAACGGTATTTTCCAGGGGACAACTCAGCAGTAAACGAGATCTCGCGAGACCTGAGGTTCAAATCAAATTGGAATGTTGTTGATAGTGGTTTTCAAAGGACGTCTGAACAACTACAGGTTTTGTATCATCAAACTGTTTGGGATATTTATATCAGTTTGGGAGCATTGTCACCTTAATCCTGATTTCCTAAAAATATTTTAATATATAAAAAACAGTGTCGCAGTAAAATGGGCTCTGCACAGGTAAAGGACTTTGGTCTGCCTTCTGTTTTTACAAGGCTACTGGTTATAATTTAATTACATGTCTGTGTGTCTACAGATCCAAGACTCAAATACTCCTTCAGACATGCATTTTACTGATTAGTTATGGACACACAATACAAAAATATCAGGATTTAGGCACCTGAATGTGTTGTCATAACCACTGTTTTAACCTTTAAAGGGCCCACACACCCACCACAGTGATCTCACTTATTCAGTCTCAGTAGCCCTCCTCTCAGGGCTGTATGCATACATGTTAACTGACATTTCCCTCACTCTTCTGTTAGCTTTGTTGGGCAGGATGACTGACACCTTTATGTTCATTTTCTTTAAAGGTCCAGTGTGTAGAATTTAGTAGGATATATTGGCAGAAATTAAATATAATAAGGAAGTTTTCTTTGGTGTATAATCACCTCAAAATAAGACTTGCTTTGTGTTTGTTACCTTAGAATCAGCCATTTTTATCTACATATGGAGCGGGTCCTCGTCCATGGAGATAGCTATGTTGCTACAGTAGCCCTGAACGGACAAACCAAATACTGGCTCTGGATTGGGCCACTGTTGCAGTCGCATTTTGCATCAGCCATCAAAGGTAGCAGCCCTTTCCCAACGTAAGCGTCAGAAAAACAGATTTTTTAAATGTGAAACTGCTTTATTAAGTGTTTTTACTGGTTTAAATCCCCAGGTCCATTTGTTTTAGTGAGGAAGAGACCTCTGCAGATAATTTGGCTCCTGGTAAAACCCCCCCTGAACAACGAACACTGAAGGAATTTTAACAAGGAGAAGTTTCAGCTGGTTGCAATCTGCAGTAATCACCACTAGATGCCACAAAATCCCTCTAAATCTTACACACTGTTCATTTAAGAAGGGGCAATGCACATTAAAGCTGCAGTAGGTAGAAAGCCTGAAAACGGTTGATTTTTGAGTCTCATCTGAGTTAGGTTTCTCCCTCTCCGCGGAGAGCCCTCGGCTCCACTCCCATGGCCGACCCTCACGCCCTCCGGCCGGGCCCGGCCCCACCTCACCCTTCCCCTCCCTCCGGGGCTCCGGGGCACCGAGTTCTGTCTTCCTTTTTTTGGGTTGTTTAGCCGTGCTGCTAAATGCTGGAATAGCTGTTTTACCTGGTGCACTGTTCGCCATTGCTTGCTTGCGCTCCCCTTCTGCCGGCGGCACAGGAACGCGCATATACAGCAGAACAGCCAATCGGAACGCAGTGGTCTGAGCTGGCCTTTGATTGGTTGATGCACATCGGCACAATACTGATTCTTTAGAGGCTGAACACAGAGCCATGGTGAGGTGCAGAAACCTATTGTTTGTCTCAGACCACTTGATTTACATTATGCTTAGAGGATATTATAAAATTTTTACTCAATCATACCAAAACAATGTTGCCTACTGGAGCTTTAATTAACATATGTTCCAGATTTACCCATACAAGCTAACTTTTATCTGCAGTCCCTGGCAGGTTGATGGCATATAAAAAAACAAAACAAAGAAAAACATACAATAGCGCATGAGCACAGACAATTAGTAAAACAATGACATGATCTCTACCCCAGATGATCTGTCTTATTGGTGCATGGAGTCCAGTGACCTTATATGATATGCAGTAAAGCTCTGCTCACCTACCACCTGAGCAATCAACCAGAGATCAACCACGAACACCTGTGTGAGTCCACAGGGCCATGAAATCTCTATAGGAAAACTTTGCTTTTGTTTACCCAGGAAACACTGTATTTAAACTTTTCCCAGATAGCACACCTCCTATCAGTGACTTAAGAGCGTTTGTTTGCAATTATTTGAATTAACACATTTACATTTGAGGTCATTAAAAGGCATTTTAGGTCAGATGTCTCCCTCTGCTTTGGGCCTGTGTCGCCACACTGTACACAGCAGAGTAACAACCAGGGCCAGATTAACAGCTAATGTTTACTGTGCGCTAGAATAACTTGAAAAGACTTTGAAGATGCTTTTAAAAGACTAAAGTCAAACGATCTATCACATCTGAGACAAACTGAGTTTTTAGTCACACACTATAAGATTTTGCAAAGAATGGGGATCTTGTAGGGTCACCATTTGCACGACTACAGCTAGATTCCTTTTGAAATTATTTTCCATCCTGTTTGTGGTGGAAAATATTACACTAAACTCCCTTTATGAAATATGACATATCAATTATTCGTTATGTGTCGGCAAAAAAAACACATAATCCTGTCTAACACAAGAAAAAAGGTATCATATCAACAAAAATCGATTCAGAAATTAAGATTTCTCACCAAAATAAGTGCTGGTTGATGGATCAGGTACCAATTAAATAAACAACGACTCTTATTCACTCCACAACTTTCTCCGGACTTGTGCAGGTTCTAGCCTGCCATGTCCCCCTCCATGTTCACTGTTCACCCAGTTTGCTGCTTCTTGTTTGGTGCTGGAGAGAGCACAGCAATTGGTTCATGACAGCGTTCATTCATTTGGTTGGAACGTCAGATGAGAAAGAGACTGACTCAAAACAGCTTGGACTGAGGTTTATAACCACCTTACACCAAACGATCAAGATAACTGAAGCCGCACCAACTGAGGTTAAACTCTCATTATTTTATTTCAACACTGGAAATTTGTCTGCGACAGTGAAGTTGCTTGAAAAGTTGTTTGGTTGAAGGCCGGCATTAGTGGGCCCTGTGGTCATAGCAGGATTACTGCAGTTGGAATTTATGGTAACAATGGACACCCCTGAGGGTCCGGGGCAGCTGCCTGGTAATCCAGCCTTTATCACAACAGATAAATCATGGACATGCTGATGCACCTTAATCCTTAAAGATTCCATACTAGACTATAAATTCTTCAAATGTGCTACCTCATAATATAATGAAGTTATTATATTGAAAAACCAACAGTATGCGACACGGTGGTGCAGTGGTTAGCATTGTCGCCTCACAGCAAGAGACTTCTCCCCTCTATGCCTCAAGTGCAAAATAGAGACAGGTAGTCTCACCCACTGCTGTGGTCTTGCCGGAAGATAGAGACGTTTTAAGGAAATAAACAGGAAATTAATAAAATATTTGCCATTAATCTAAGAAATGATCCAAAATACCTGCTACTTGGTATATTAAATGGTTTTATTATGAATAAGTTTATAGGTAAACTCTATAAACTACTAACACTCTGTGCAAGACAGTGTGCACTTCTGAAGTGGATATCAGACAGAATTCCAACTAAAACACAAGATCATAAGGTCATATTGGAATTTATTTCTTTGGATTATTTGATATGTATCACTTGAAAGATGATGTGTTTCATAGAACACTGGAGCCTTTTATGTCCTTTATTGGAGTGGATATTTCAACTATTCTTATAAGATGGTTTATGTAGTGGGGCACTAACTAATGTATCTTTCCTTTTTTATAGTGTGTAATTCCTGAGTCTCTTCCCTTTATAGATGTTTGATCTGTGAGCTGAGATGTGTTGTTTTGTTTTCCCCCTAAAAAATCAATAAACACTTTTTTAAAAAATGATCCTCCATGGCATTATTCAACACTGTAAACCAGCTCAGGAGGTGACCAAAAGCTAAATGCATGCTTCACTGAATTTTAATGCCTTGTATGCTCAGTAACATCAGGTTCAGCAATGACTTGCTAACTGGAAATAAACAGACAAGAAGTCATTTGGAGGAAGAAATAAATGTAATTGCTACTGAGCCCAACATCCTGTTATATAAAGTTCCTGTTGTATGTGTGAAGATTTCAGGAAATGGTGACTTGGTCTTCAGCATTGCATAACACTTGTGCAATAGTTTCATCCACAGATGGGGAACAAAGTTAAGTCTCTAAATGGAGGTCCTTGAAATGTTCATGAGATTATTAGTATAGTATTAAGTATAAATGATGGAGACTCTTTTGTCTGGTTTATGATATTGCTGTGTGATATGACTCATAATGACAGATCAGATCATGATGACATGTTTTTACCAGCCACGGGAAACCTATCACTCACGGGTGGCCTACATGAATCTGAAACCAAAGAGCATTTTGATGAAGTCGTTGCATGTGGTCAAACCAGGTATTCAAAAATGAACACTGTGGTTTAGCAGCATGTAATCTACTTCTGTGATCTGAGGGAGGAAGAAGGTTTTATCTGTAGTTTGCACACTTAGATGAGTCATTAATTTCTATTTCAGTGCTGCACTGTGACAGCGTTTTAACGTACTTGATCATACTGCTTTACAGGCAATCATAAAGTTTATACTGACCACACATTTACCGTGCTTTGACACACTGTGACATCCAAGGTTGCTCACTGGGTCTCAGTGTTCGGACATAAACAAGCAGCACAGTGATTGAGCCTGCCAGCAGCATGGCATCACACCCAGTACATTTATCACTGTTTGTTTTAGTTAGCACCATCTGACAGAGCTTATTACCAAACTAACTTCACTGCATGAGAAACTATTCTTCGTCTAATACATTAGCATGTGGCACAAACACTGCAGCCTGTGCCAGTGATACTTCCACGACATCCTGCTGCCAAACAGAGGACTTGAGACAGTTGGTGGTTCGAATGTTTGTAGTTCTGCAAGTCACTGTTTCACATAAAGCAAGGGAAAGTGGGAGTAGTGTATCTGATGACAACGACAGTCTGAAGAGGTGAAATGAGTCCTTGATCCAAAATGCCATCTTCCTCTTTAATGCAACAGATTTGGGATCACCCTGTCTATCAGCTTGGAA